AGCTTGGAAAGTTTAATGTTTCTACAATTTGACTTTCCATTTAATGTACTATACACTTTGCTTTCAGAAATAGGTTAGGAAATAGGCCACAAATATTCTCTTTTGGATCAGATGGGGACAAGATGAAAGTGAGCTTTCTCTCTTTTGAAATCATTTATGGGATCAAAATCATTATCTAGCAATAAATGCTCCAGTGCTTGACAGGGACGTCCTTGAATTCTCCAAGCCCCTTCTCTGGATTCCATGAAATACACGTAGGGTTGGCACAGATGCTCCTGCATTCAGCAACAGGTGTGTCTATTCCGTTTTTACTGATATTTATGATCCAGAAACCAGAAACCTTCACTTCTACCCTTTCTCTGGGAGGTGTTAAGGGTGTGAGTTATGGGAAGAACTCTCCTTTGCACCTCCTGGATTTACTGTTTTCCTCAAATACCAGCCAGTACGATCCCGAAGAACTTGAGAAACATTGTTCCCTGATCTGTACACTTTTGGTGTTAAAGATTTTACTTATCTTTTTAGTACTTTCTATGTATTTTATATGTATAATTTTATACAATTAAAATAGTTTTTTGTCTAGTGTGCCAGATTGACTCTTCAAGTCTTTTGTATTGGAGTAGTTAAAAAATGACCCTTTCTTTACATATATATATGTAAAATAAATTAGTATTTTTGGGTGGTAGAGATAAGATTGTACTGCTGGGGAGAAGCATCCTGCCTCCCCTTCTCCAGACATTTGAGGAGCCTAGGTTTTGCTCTTAGTTCTTTCCCCTTAAGTTCTACCCAGTTCCACATGCAATCTCACCCCCTAGGGTGGTCTAAACTCTATCATACACACATTCTCTAATCTGTTTCTTCTACTGCAACCTGTTTTGAGCTCTTATAACTATATTTCCTTATGTTGGACATCACTTCCTGAATATGACACAAGTTCTTGTAACTCATATATTCAAAATAAAACCCATTTTCCATATATCTGAGGCCCCAGATCAAGACGACACTCTAACCAACATTATTATATCAATAGGTGCAGAAAAGCTTTTGATAAAATCCATTTATGATAAAAACTCTCAGCAAAGTGGGAATAGAGGGAATATACCTCAACATAATAAAGACCATATATAACAAACGCATAGCCAACATCATACTCAAGGGGCAAAAACTATAAGCATTCCTCAAGATCAGGAATAAGACAGCGATGTCTGCTTTCACTGCTCTTAATATAATACTGAAAGTCCTAGCCACAGCAATCAGACAATAAGTAGAAATAAAAGGCATCCAAATTGGAATGGAAGAAGTAAAACTGTCATTATTTGCAGATGACATGATGCTGTATAGAGAGAACCCTAAAGATTCTACCAAAAAAACTACTAGAACTGATAGATAAGTTCAGTAGTGTTATGCATAATAAATATCCAGAAATCAGTTGCATTTTATACAACAAATAGAGGCCTGGTGCACGAGATTCATGCACTGGGGTGGGGGTGAGGAGTTCTTCAGCCCAGCCTGTGGCCTCTCGCAGTCTGGGACCCCTCGGAGGATGTCCACCTGCCAGCTTGGGTCCGTTCCCCCGGGGATCAGGCTTAAGCTAGTAGGCAGACATCCCTCTTGCAGTCCCGGACTCCTTGCTCCTTACCGCCCACCTGCAGCAGAGGCAGGAGAGGCTCCCGCCACCACCGCTGGGCTCACCAGCTGTGAGCCTTGGCTTCGTAGAGACTAGTCTTCCACTGTTCGGTCTATTGCATGTTACACTTTTATAATATAGAAAGGACTAGAAGCCTGATGCACGAAATCGAAATCTGTGCAAGAGTAGGCCTTCCACCGAAACCGATTTGGCTCAGCGGATAGAGCGTCAGCCTGCGGACTGAGAGGTCCCGGGTTCGATTCCGGTCAAGGGCATGTACCTTGCTTGCGGACACATCCCCAGTGGGGGTTGTGCAAGAAGCAGCTGGTCTATGTTTCTCTCTCATCAACGTTTCTAACTCTATCCCTCTCAATTCCTCTCTGTGTAAAATCAATAATAAAATATATATATATATATATATATATATGTGTGTATATATATATATATATGTGTGTGTGTGTGTGTATATATACACACATATATATATACATTATATATATATATATATATATATATATATATATATATATATTTTTTTTTTTTTTTTTTTTTAAGAGGAGGCATTCCTTCTCCTGGCTGCTGACAACAGCTTCCCTCTGGCACCTGGGACCCAGGCTTCCCTCACAGCCCCAGCTTTGTTCAGAAGGTTGCCCAGTCTCATTAGCATTTTACGCTTTTATTATTATGGATAATGAACTCTTAGAAAGGGAAACTAAGAAAACAATCCCATTTGCAATTGCTTCAAAAAGAAAAAAGTACCTAGGAATAAATTTAACCAAGGATATAAAAGTATGTACTTGGAAAATTATACACACTGAAAAAATATTGAAGAAGATACAAATAAGCAGAAACATATAGCATGTTCATGGATAGGAAGAATTAACATTATTAAAATGTCCATACTGCCAAGACCGGTTTGGCTCAATGGATAGAGCGTCGGCTTGGGGACTGAAAGGTCCCGGGTTCAATTCTGGTCAAGGGCATGTACCTTGGTTGCGGGCATATCCCCAGTAGGGGGTGTGCAAGAGGCAGCTGATCGATGTCTATCTCTCATTGATGTTTCTAACTCTCTATCTCTCTCCCTTCCTCTCTGTACAAAATCAATAAAATATATTTATTAAAAAAAAATGTCCATACTGCCCAAAGCAATCTATAGATTCAACCCCAATTCCTACCAAGATACCAATGGTACATTTTACAGAACCAGAACAAATACTCAAGAAAATTTATATGGAACTCTAAAAAACCATGAATGGCCACAGCAATCTTGAGAAGAAAAATGTTGAAAGAATTACACTACCTGATATCAAACTATACTACAAGGCCATAGTAATCAAACAGCATGGTACAGGCATAAATACAGACATATAGATCAATAGAACAGAATAGAGTCCAGAAATAAATTCACACCTTTATAGTCAATATTTGACAAAGGAGCCAAAAACGTACAATGAGCTAAAGAGAGTCTATTCAATAAATGGTGTTGGAAAAATTGGACAGATAGATACGTGCAAAAAAGTGAAACTACACCACATAGAAGAATAAACTCAAAATGGACTAAAGACTTAAATGTTAGACTAGAAAACATGAAAACCCTAGAAGAAAATATAGGCAGTAGAATCTCAGACAATGCCTGTAGTAATATTTTTTCTGATATAGCTCCTTGGGCAAGGGAAACAAAAGCAAAAATAAACAAGTGAGACTACATCAAACTGATTTTTTCTTTAAAAGACCAAACTACCTACTGTGGAGAATGGATTAGTGTCTCCTCGTTTCAGTTAATATCGCCTGCTTTGCCTGAAAAACTACCCAGCCTTACAGGCCAAGTTCAGACAGAAGTCCTCCCTTACATGGACTCGCCACTCCTATTCCACTTGGTGATAGCAATTACCACTTCTATATGTAATTATAAAGTCATTGTTGATGATATAATTATTTTTCCTTGTATTGCCAGCATCACCTCTACTATTAGACACAGATAAACATTCAAAATTGTTTGATTAAAAATTAATAAGAAAAAAATTAATAAGTGAATCTTCAGTCCACTATTGTGTAAGGCCTATATCAAGATTCCAGGATTTGGGGACAATATAGGTTTTGTCTCACTTTGGGTTGTTTTTTTTGTTTGTTTTAATTAAAGGCATTTTTTTTAAGATACTGATTTGAGACTTGTTGTTCCACTTATTTTTGCATTCATTGGTTAATTCTTGTATATGCCCAGACCCAGATGAACCCAAAACTTGGCATATAGGGACGACCCTTTAATCAACTGAGCTACCCGTCCAGAATTCAAATCCTAGCTTTTTGTTGTTGTTGTTTTTAAATTGTTTGAGAGAGGAGAGAGGGAGAGAAACATTCACGATGAGAATCATTGATTAGCTAGCTGCCTCCTGCACAACCCCTCCTGGGGATTGAGCGGCAACCTACCTAGGCTTGTGTCCTGACCCTGAATCCAACCGTGACCTTTTGGTTCATGGATTGACACTCAACCACTGATCCATACCAGCTGGGCTCAAGGCCTAGGTTTTTAAAAGTGAAAAACCGCCACATCCTCCAAGAAGCTAAAGCCCCTATTTTGTTTAAAGCCATTATCTTTTATTAATTCCCCAGAGGTGGTGAGGAAAGTTGGGGATTAACCTTAAGAAGAAAAAAAGTTGGTATCTGTCTCACCAAAAGAACTGCACAGACAACCAGGGCTGTTAGCTTCTTTAAGAGAGAAATTCAGTGCGCAGTATAAGCCAGCATCGCAGACTGATTTTTTTTTAATATATTTTATTGATATTTTACAGAGAGGAAGGGAGAGAGGGAGAGCTAGAAACGTCAATGAGAGAAATACTGACCAGCTGCCTCTTGCACACCCTCTACTGGGGATATGCCCGCAACCAACGTACATGCCCCTGACCGGAATTGAACCTGAGACCTTTCAGTGCGCAGACCGACGCTCTATCACTGAGCCAAACCGGTTTCGGCCAGACTGAATTTTTTATTTTTATTTTTTAAAGCTCACATCACAGATCCTGCAGCTCCTCGGAACAGGAAGTTTTGAAAGAAACTTTCAACTTCCATTTCCTAGTATGAGTGAGAGACAGAAGGCAGCCGTCCACTGCAGAAATCACGCTGGGCTTTCCGGCCAGCACAGTTTCTCCTCGGTTGCCAAGGGTAAGAGGAAGCCATCGATTCGCGGTCGGCCCGCCCCCGCCCAGTGGCGGCTTTCAGCTCCCGGCCTGCTCCTGAGGGCTACAGGAGCACTTCCGGCTTCCGACCTGCTCTAGATGGCTGCACAGGTACTTCCGGCTCCTCCCGGCCTAGGCCCGCCTCCACGTGCGTATTTCCACCGCGTCGGGGCGGGACTTAGAGTAAGCTTCTGATTGGTCAATGGGACTGGTGACCTTTCCCCTCCGCGACCAGTTTCCCGGGGCTGCTTAGATCCGGAGCGGCACCGACGCGGGTTCCAGGGAGGCAAGATGGCGGACGTGCTGGATCTTCACGAGGCGGGCGGCGAGGACTTCGCCATGGATGAGGATGGGGACGGTGAGGGCAGTGGAGGCGGCTGCGGGAAGAGGGGAAGGTGCGAGAGAAGGACGTAAATAGGGCGACGGGCTCCCCTCCCTCCGGCGCGGAGGTGGGAGCGGGGAGCGGGCTTCCGCGGCTGCGGACTCCGCCCCGGCGGCGGCGCGGGGCGGGGCTAGCGGGACTGGAGGCGGTGGGTCCGCTCCCGGAATGTCTGGGCAAAGATGCTGTGGTTCTGCACGTTACCTTCGGCCCTTATCCTTTCACTTATGGGGTTACAGAGAGCATCCACAAGCTGAAAGAGAAGGCGAAGAAACGGAAGGGCCGCGGCTTCGGCTCCGGTGAGTGTGGGGAAAACGGGGTCCGTTCGTTTTCCTGGGGAACAGTGGGAAGGGGGCTTCCCACTGATCTCTGCGTGTTTCCTAGAAGAGGGCTCTCGGGCGCGGATGCGGGAGGATTTTGACAGCGTGGAGCAGGATGGCGACGAGCCCGGACCACAGCGCTGTGAGTAGACGGAGCCGGTGTGTGTGTGTGTGTGTGTGTCCTGTCCGCAGAGAGGGGGGGGGCAGTAAAGCAAAACCCGTAGGAAAGGGGCGTGGGGTCTGGAGTGGCACTCACCCTGCTGCTGGGATCCTCTTAAGCTTTTCTCTGTGTGCTCACCCCCCTCCCTTCCCCAACAGCTGTTGAAGGCTGGATTCTCTTTGTCACTGGGGTCCATGAGGAAGCCACGGAAGAAGACATCCATGACAAATTCGCGGAGTATGGGGAAATAAAAAACATCCACCTCAACCTGGACAGGCGCACAGGATACCTGAAGGTACCGAGTTCTCCTTTATATATGTGTGTATGTGTGTATATATGTATATATCCAACCTAATAAAAGTAATATGCAAATAAACCATCACTTCATGCCCACCAGCCAGTCAGTGTGAGTATGCAAATTAACCCCAACTCAGATGGCTGCACCACAGAGAGCAGGAGGGAAGCTTGGGTTTCCCTAGGATGAAGGAAGCCAAGCATTCCACACACCCTGGTGGACCCAGGCCTCCACTCCAGGCTACAAAGTTACAATTATAGAAGATACATAAAACCAAACAGAAATGGCTGCCATAGGAGAGCCAGCAGAAGGCTTGGCTCCGCTCCAGGCTACAAAGTTTCAATTGTAGAAGATCAATATATTCCAGATACTAGGGTCTCCGCTTGGGGGTGGGGGTGGGGAGGGCATGGCCGGCCTGCAAACCACCACAGGTTCCTCGCTCAGGCAGCCCCACGCCCCAAGGGAACCCTCACCCTGATCCAGGACACCTTTCAGGGCAAATCACCTGGCCCCCACCCATGCACCAGACCTCTATCCTATTTAATAAAAGAGTAATATGCAGATTGACCATCACTCCAACACAAAAGATCAGGATAGCTGTCCTCATGTGGTCAAAGATCCTGCCCCCCATGTGGACACAAGATAACCAGCAAGGGAGGGCAGTTGAGAGGGACCAGATCTGCAAGGGAGGGGAGTTGGGGGCAATTAAGCCTGCAGGGGAGGGCAGTTAGGGGTGACCAGCTTAGCAGAGGAGGGAAGTTGGGGGGAAACAGACTGGCAAGGGAGCAGTTCGATATCAGTCAGGCTGGCAGGGCAGTGGTTAGGGGGTGATCAGGCTGGCCTGGAGAAGTAGTTAGGGACAGTCAGAAAGGCAGGCAGGGGAGCAGTTGGGAGCCAGCAGTCCTGGATTGTGAGAGGGGTCCGATTGGAGAGGGTGCAGGCTGGGCTGAGGGACACCCCTCCCTTACCCCCGCCATGCATGAATTTCGTGCACTGAGCCTCTGGTGTGTGTGACCCTTGAGTCAGCAGACCTACACTCTATCCACTGAGCCAAACCCCTCTGGGCTGAGTTCTCCTTGCCTCTCTCTCATCAGCCTTAGACAGCAGGGGCAGATCTCCCGTGGTGGCGTTGGTTGAGCAAAGTTGAAATAAAATGACACTGGAAATTGATTTTGTTACGCACAGCAGAGATGGGAACTGACAAACCTGTTGTGTGTACAGTAGGGATATGTGATGTACATTGTTTAAAGTTCCTAGAACATGGCTTGGTGGAACAGGGTTCTGATAGCTGTCTTCTGCTTGCCCTAGGGGTATACTCTAGTTGAGTATGAAACGTACAAGGAGGCCCAGGCTGCGATGGAGGGACTCAATGGCCAGGATCTGATGGGACAGCCGATCAGTGTGGACTGGTGTTTCGTTCGGGGTCCACCCAAGGGCAAGAGGAGGTAAGGTGGAGGGGGCAGACACTACCTTGGTGAAGGGAATGTGAGCAAAACAGATAGGACATTGCTAGGTCCCTCTGATGGACACCCCCCTTCCTTTCTTTTTCCTAGAGGCGGCCGCCGGCGCAGCAGGAGTCCAGACCGGAGGCGTCGCTGACCGGTCCTCCGCTGGCCAGGTGTTCGCTCCGGAGATTCCATGTGACCACGCGGCTTTGGAGAAGTAGGGCCTGGGTGGAACTCGCCGTTTATATTTAATCCTTTTCCCTGTTGCTTAGTGTTTTGGAGGGGGCGGGGGGGTGTGAATTATAAATAAAGGTCCCATTTTTGTTTTCTACATTTAGAATTATTTTCTTGCTCTAACCTGCAAACTCTGAAGTGCTATTTACAGTAGGTAGTGTGGGACACTAAAGGTACTTCTCCCAGTTAAATGAATTCAGTGAGTTTCTACATTAGACATAGTCTCAAGCCTCAAAGAGTCAAAGTAGAAACACTGCTTACGGTATTTATTTTTCTTGGAAGCTAAGAGAGCAGGGGTAGAAGTGAGATGTTTTCAGGATATTAACGAATTATTATTTTTGTTCCTGTATACTCTGTCCTGAGCAAATGGATGCTATAGGAATGTTTTAGGGGTTTTTTGTTCCTCCTGCCCTTACTGCCACATTTGTTTGTACTGCCAGCTATTTAAGGGCTGAATCTCCTCTGGGGCATTCTCCCAGATTCTCTTTCCCTAAAGGAGTCAATACGAAGTTCTTGGTGCCCACTGTGGCAGCCAAGGGGGAAGGCCCCTTGGAGATGATCCGGAGGAGCATTGACGAGGCCAAAGAGAAGAGGAGGAGGCGGGGAGACTGGGAGGAACTCCAGTTAGCACTGTGGGAGGGAACCAGTACAGAGACCCAATAAGCAGTAAGGTGTGCGGCAGAGGACAGAGGTCAACTAAATAAGCAGCGTTAGCCGCGGGTCCTCAGACAGACACGGGGTGGTTGTCTAAGGAGGGTTTCACTGGTAGGTTTGGGATTTCGAAAATATACTGAAATTCAGAACCATTTGGCTCCGGACCTGAGTATAGGGTGAGTTGATGGGTGGGCAGTGAGATGGAGCTCTCTCCTGGCAAGGAAGAAAATGCTACACACCCTCTTCTCCTTCCAAACTTGGGACTGTGTGCTCCTTTCCCTCAGGGATTATGACAGACATGCTGGAGAATTGGGGGTTTTTTTTGTTTGTTTTCCTAATTTTTATTCATTTCAGAGAAAAAGGTAGTGGGAGACAGAAACATCATTGATCAGCTGCCTCCTGCACATCCCCCTTGATGGGAATTGAGCCCTCAATCCAGGCATGTGCCCTGACCGGGAATCGGACTGTGACCTGGTTCATAGGTCAACGCTTAACCACTGAGCCATTGGTGGGCAAGGTTTGCTTGAGGTGCTGTGCTGTATGAGGCTACTAAGTCTGCTTTAAGACTTCATGGTGTCCCAAGAGTAAAGGAGAATACTGGTCGTGTTTCTCCTTAATCCACCTAACTGAAGTTCAGATGATGGCTAGAGGTTGGTTAGAATTGGAGGCATTCAAGAAAATTACGTGCAGCATCAGGTACTAGAAATACAGTTAGAATCTCACTTTTGGTTTGATGAGTAGCTATCAGATAAATGAGGCCAGAGGCAATTGTTTGAGGGTATGGATGAGAGCCTGGGGTTCGACACTGAGGACAGAGCGGCGATAGCAGATGGTCATGGCAGTCAGTGGCACAGAATGGCAGCAGCAGAAGAGGTTTTACGTACTCTCTTGCCATTGAGCCTTGAAGCTGCCTTTGGTGACACACTGAGCGAAGGGGCCTGGGCCGGCTTGGCGGATGGTATGGAAGAGCAGCAGCTGGGGTGGGGTTGAGGACTATTCTTACTGATCCCTTCCACCTCCCTCAACCTACCCACCATTGTCACACTTGAATCCATGCAAAACACTACCATGTGAGTTGATGTTTCAGCCTTAGTGCCAGTATTTAAAAGGTTAGAAATGTATCTTGAAAATCCCCATGTCCTCTTAGGCTATGGAGCTAACCATTAAGTTTGTTAAATCCTGGGATGTAAAGAATCCTGACTTTTTTCTTTTTTAAAAATTACTATGCTAAACATTGCACTTTATATCTCTACCACCTCATCAATATTTTTAACTGAAATGATTTTCCTGATGTGTCTGATTAATTCTTGGAGGAAAAATCTTGTATAAAATGGGTGATGCTAAAATTTCAGACCATTTGTGCAACAACTCTGAAGTGACCTTTAGTAACAGACTTTTGTACAGTAACTATAATAGTGAAACGATGTTAAATAATAAAATTTAACATTTACCACATGTTCTTGGTCGCTCCTCCCCCTTTTTGGTAAATTGCTCAGTTTTTTGTTTGAATCAGTAAAGAGTTTTTTTTCCGGTTTGAGCTTCAGGTAAGTTAGTAACTTGGTTCAGGTAAGGTAGATTTGAGTCACTGTTAGTTTGGTAAAAGGAAAGCTTTACAGATGTCAGATTCCTAACTATAAGACATTTGGAAAAGTGATTTCGCAGGTGGATGGGGCTTTTAGGAAAGGTGGATAGTATCAGCCATAGACATACAATGGCATGAACTGCTTGGAGTTACACTGAGCTAGCTGGACATTGGTCTTTCCTCTTCCCCTATCTTGAGTCCATACAGTTCTGGGGTTTGGAGTTTTGGGGTGTTTTTCTTTGCGCTATGCCTAGAAATACTTGACACTGTGAGAAGGGTTTGGAACAAAGGTCAGGCTTCTGGACTTACTATTTTACCCATAGCCTTACTTCTGCCTCCTCTCCCTACTTTATATGCAGTGTACCTAAAACCTTCCTTTTAACTACTGGAAACTAGGTTACAGACTAATTTCTAACTACCCCCATACTCCATCACACTAACACCACATTTTTTTTTAAGTGTTTGTTTTTTCCCCGGGGTGGGTATCTCAGTTGGTTAGAGTGTCATCCCAATATGCGCATACACACACACACGCACACGCACACGCACACACACAACACGCTGAGAGGGCCAGATTATTATGCATTCAGAGATCATAATAGTATGGCCACTCAGTGTATAGTCAGACTAACTTTTGATTATAATTTTTTTTTTCTTTTTATATATATATATATTTTTTTTTAAATATATTTTATTGATTTTTTACAGAGAAGAAGGGAGAGAGGGATAGAGAGCTAGAAACATTGACCAGCTGCCTCCTGCACACCCCCTACCAGGGATGTGCCCGCAACCAATGTACATGCCCTTGACCAGAATCGAACCTGGGACCCTTCCATCCTCAGACCGGCGATAGCAGATGTGCCAAACTGGTTTCGGCTGGCAGTTATATTTTTAATATTTGAGGCTTTAAGGATGAAACCTTTGATTCTAATGCATTGTCATCTAAGAGATTAAAATGTTAGCCCCCTTCTAGATGTAATCCTAATCCTAGTCTCAGAGATGCTCTACCTATCTTCCCTCCATCCCCTGCGGTAGTGGGGGGTTTTGTTTTTGTTTTGAATGAAATTGCTTCATGTTTAACTTACCCCCTAGATGGTAGTTCATTTTCCTATTGAGATTAGATTACCTGGTACTCAAGTTCAGATGCGCTCTTTTCCAGTTCCTTTTTTTTCTCTCAAGGCCACCAAAAATTTTGGTTGCTTCCTCCCCAAAAAATGGGAAGAGAGTGAAATCTTTCCAGTTTTTTGTGTGTTTAAACTATACTTTTTTTTATTTCAGAGGGGAAAAGAGGGAGAGACAGATATAGAAGCATCAGAGATGAAAGGATCCTTGATGGGCTGCCTCCAGTCCTTGGGGATGGAGCCCACAAACCCAGGCATGTGCCCTGGATGGGAATTGAATTTGGAACCCTTCAGCCTGCAGCCTTATGCTCTATCCACTGAGCAAAACCAGCTAGGGCTTTATGCTTCTCTTTAGCATAACATTTGACTGTACTATATGGTACTAATTTGTCTCCTGCGCTAGCTAGTCTATAAATTTCTTAGTCAGGACTTCATTGCTCTGTCCTTGCTAGAGCAGCGGGCGCCAACCTTTCGGACCTCGTGGACCACCAGCGGTCCTCGGACCTCCAGTTGGGGACCGCTGCTCCAAAGGTTTCCTTAATCCAGCAGTTACCAACCTTTCAGACCTCACGGAGGTGACCACTGTGCTAGAGCGGTCTGAAGGTGATGCACATTATTTGTTTTTTAGTTGATGAGTGTACCACAAAGTGGTTTTTAAAAAAATCTTTATTGTTGAAAGTATTACATATGCCCCCCCCCCCCATTCACCCTTGCCCCAGGCCCTCACCCCCACACACACTGTGTGTGTCCAGGGGTTGTGCATATTTGCATACAAGGTCTTTGGTTGATTACCTCCCACCCTCCCCTGCCTTCCCTCTGAGATTCTGTACTCTGGTCCATGCTTCCATGTCTCTGGATCCACTTCGACCATCAGTTTATTTTGTTGTTTAGATTCCACATGAGAAAACATGGTACCACAAAGGTTTAGCCAAAAACCCTGGCTTCTCTCTTTTCTTAATAGAACCTCCCATATATGTTTCCTCCCTGCCCTAGAGTTGCTGCAGCCATCTCCTGAAGCAAGGGGGGACTGGGAGGATACAAATAGGGAACTAGGTAGTAAAACAGCTGAAGGAAGAGGCGCAGATAAAAGGGTACTGCTTTTAAGAACAGAGATACCAATTAGCATGCATTGATCTTAACATGGGAAAGACTATCAGACCTGCCCCTGAGGATTGATGGAGACCAGCATCAACCACATGACATGACGCTGAAGGTTCATGTTACCTTCCCAAATTCTTGTCCAGTCTAGACCTGAGCCCAGACAAGTGAGTCACCTGGATCAAGGCAAGCAGAAGACAAATCCCTAGGATGCCCCGAGAAGTTTCCTTACAGCTGAGGGGGGTGGCAGTGGAACCCAATGACCACAGGCAAGAAAGCTGTAGCCTACGTGGCCATTAGTTTCGGGAATGAGTGTCCGATAGGCAATGTCTCTGGCCAGCCTTTGAGCAGTGATAGTCCAGGTGGCATCTAGGGACATAACCACAATAGCGGCCGGTAAGTCTAGAGCTGCCAAGTGGGCAAACAGGCGCCGTACCTGACGGGTGGAGCTGACTGGGTGGCGGCTGTGTCACCGCAGCACCGCCAGGTTCCCTCCAGCAGAAGAAACAAAGGGCACAGTGGTCACTCCCACTCGGACCTCGGAGATGGGCAGTTCTGTGCCTTCATCACACTCCTAATCCGGCCCAGATCTCCCCTCCGCCGACCTCCAAGGGGTGCCTTGCCTGCAGACATGGTGACTGGGAAGGGAAAGGGGTGGGGATGTGTGGGTTGGAGGGGTTAACCTGTCCGGGTCCTGTAGGGCGCTGGGATCTGGCGCTGGTTCTGCTTCTGTGGAGTCTCCGGAGCCCCGGATAGGATCGGTAGAGTGTGTGTGCCAGTCAGGGTGTTAATGCCCAGGTCCAAGGCCGCCGCCTCTCGCCCCGCCCCCGCAGGCCCCGCCCTCCGCGGGCCCCGCCCCGCCCGGATCCTTAAAGCGGAATGGGCGCCTCTCGCCCCGCCCCCGCAGGCCCCGCCCTCCGCGGGCCCCGCCCCGCCCGGATCCTTAAAGCGGAAAGTGCGAGCGGGGACACCGACCCTCGGAAGTGGCGGCTCGCGAATCGAGTCGCACTCGGAGACCGGAGGCGAGCACTTCTGGAAAGGCCGCCTCCGGGGCGGGCTCCGCCGCTTTCTTTCCTGGCGACGTTTGTCCCTCGCGAGGCCCCGTTGCGCGGCCGGGAGGCGGGGCGGGCAGCGCGGGCCCGGGAGCGGCGCCGCCATGGACGCCTGGGTCCGCTTCAGCGCCCAGAGCCAGGCCCGGGACCGGCTGTGCAGGTGCGGGCGGGGGCGGGGCGGGACCCCAGACCCTAGTGTGGCCAAGTCAGTTCCGCTACGGGGGTCAGGAAGGGTCAGCTCGGGCTCCGGGGGCCGCGCGGCGCTGCGGGGCTGGCCGTGCGCGGATCCGTTTCTGCCCCGGGAAGATGGTGAAACTGAGGCACGAGAGGGCCCGCGGGGGACGCTCCGGGCCGCCGCGTCCGCGGGGACCCGCAGGCCCTCGCCGGGCGGCGGTGCACCGGAAGCGCTGGCCCCGCATAGGGTGGCGAGCGGCCGGACTCTGCCCCGAGCGCGGACCGGTTCCAAGTCTCCCTGTCCCTTCCCGGCTGTCAGCGGGCGCTCCGCCCCGCCCCGCCCCGCCTTCCGGTCCTGGTTCACCTCCATGAGGAATAGTGCCCTCCGGGGTCCCCCAGCCCGCCCGTCACGGACTGCCCTGGTGCTGGTCGGGGGTGTCCCCCTGCATCTGTCCCCCAGCGCCCAGCCCCGTCCAGACTCCAATGTCTCCGCTCCAAGCAGTGCTCCCACCCCGTCTGGGCTCCCCTTACCCCTGTGCTCTCCCCTCCTGGCCTGGGGGAGAAGCAGTGAGTTATGGACGAGAGGAGCAGGAAGGGGAGTGGCCGCACCCGGGAAAGGGGAGCCCCTCCTCGCCTTCAGGAGCACACCTTTGCGGGGAGGTGAGGGAGGTCCCGCCTTTGCCTGCCTGTCTCCCCCAGGGCCGCCCAGTACGCCTGCTCCCTGCTGGGCCACGCGCTGCAGAAACGGGGGGCCAGTCCTGAGCTGCAGAAACAGATTCGACAGCTGGAGGGTCACCTGAGCCTAGGGAGAAAGCGTGAGTAACTTCAGGCTTTATTACCCCAACACCCCGCCAGCCCCCGCCGTTCTCTCTCAGTCCCGGCTCCCTGCTTTTACCTTCTCTGCCGGTTCTTCTCCCTCATTTGGCTTTGCATTCACCCCCTACCCGCCTCCCCATTGAGGTAAGACAACAGGAGCGTGAGTGTAAGGAAGGACTGTTGAAACGCGCAAGTTTGAGAACACCAAACCGCGACACAAATTGATTAAAATTTTAAGTGAAAAAGAAAGAACTGTTTCTGCTCTTTTTAAAAAAATTATTTGTTTTTGTTTCTATCACTTGCTGAACTTCCACCCTTTTGCTTTTTCTCTTTCTCTGCGTTCTGCTCTCCGCCTGTCTCCTTCCAAATCTCTGCTTTTTCCTGCGGATCCCCACAAGTCCTCCGCCTGGGCAACTCAGCAGATGCCCTGGAGTCAGCCAAACGCGCTGTGCACCTGTCAGATGTTGTCCTGAGGTTCTGCATCACTGTTAGTCACCTCAACCGAGCCTTGTACTTCGCCTGTGACAATGTCCTGTGGGCTGGGAAGTCCGGACTAGCCCCCCGTGTGGATCAGGAGAAGTGGGCCCAGCGTTCGTTCAGGTTTGACAGCCTCT